ACCAACGCGACGGCCCCAGGCGGTAGCACAACACCTGCAGTGTATACAATGTTGCCACAACAGCCACAGAAGTCAACCAGCCCGACCAATAATCCACCAACAAACAAAGAAAAAGAAACGAGTCAGCCCGCAGGTAAGTACCCCTGGCTCTCATATTAAATGATCTTATTATGAGAGCATCCAAGATTTCACTTCAAGGCCAGGACAGAATAACATCAGTGGACACACACCCAGTCACAACATCCACAAACCAGCCCCTATTCAAATTAACATCGCGGAAATACCCATCTTTCGATTACACAAAATTCAAAAGCATCTAAGAGGTTCACGGGTTCTCCAACACCCAGGCGGCAAAACCAGAAAGCATTTGAGTTTGGTGGGTCATGAACTGGCCAGATGGTCAAAGAATAATCGAAACTCTTCCTTTTAAGCCCAACATTTCACTCAAGCTATGGAAAGCGGTAGCCTCCGGTGCATACGTAAACCTTCAGAACTTTACTTACAAAAACCTGCTGTCAAGCATAAAGGATGCAGAGGACGAACCCACACTGTAATCAGCAGAAGGTGATACCATATCGATTAAGAGGCACTCCTGTCATACAGCATTCGCAGATATCTCAGAGTGGTTACTTGCCTTCAAGGCATATATAGATGCTGTTCTTATCATTTACGAAAACAGAGAACAGGAGCTCAACACTTACAGAGACCACATCAGCGAATTATGTCTCAAACAAAGTTTTTATACTGTAATGTCCTACGATGAGGATCGCAGAGTAACTTTGGTGACAAATCGGGACTCAACTCTTCTAGACCGTAAGGTTGAAGTCGAGAGCAGAAATTTCGACATAACAACAGCAAAGAAACACAAACACAACACGTATCGTACCTCACGACCCAAAATAGAATGGCATAACGGAAGGGAGATTTGTATCAATTGGAATAGAAGTCACTGCGTGGATGAGAAAGTCTGTGAAAGGGTTCATGCCTGTTTGATCTGCAAGAAAACCAACCACAACGAACAAAAGTGTTTTAAAAGATTTGGCCAAAGAAAAGGAAATCTCCCGGATGGTAACAAAACGGACAAAAGCGTACAGCAATAAGTTCAGCTGCATCGTGCATAATTAACAATAACTGCACATAAGTAATCACCCCATAGTACACTTAAACAATAACAATAACAACCTGCAGCACATTTTAAGTACAACACGATGATAATACTTACAACTTACAATAACAAAAAAAAAAAAAAAAACAATAAAAAACTAATAATAATAATAATAATAATAATAATAAAATGACGAAACCATTACCCCCAGGACGATATAACACAATTAATACCTCACCGTCGTAGTGCCTGCCATATACAAAAAAAAAAAAATTATTATTAGTTCTGCTTATGCACATGAACAAAGATATAATACAGATTACTGGGAGATGTTAATATAAGTACCAAATACCAAGCAACATCATCACTAACAACCCCAACTCTACAGGTCTACAAATGGCATCAAACTCCAAACATGTCGCTCAATACAAAGCAGCCCGAGGAATCACTACGTTCGAGGCTCCAATCCTTCAATCAGTCAACTGACACTTACTGCTATTCACCCACACAACATGCCTTTAACAGCCACAGAGAACGAAATCTACACACAACTCGATCCAGATATATTCAGCATCTTCACCCCAATTAACATCGAGATGTTCACGTACCTAACAAACAATCACCCTAACCGACCATTCATATCTTACCTGCTCAAAGGACTCAGAGATGGGTTCAGATTTAACTTTTCGGGTCAAAGAACTAGATTAGTTCAACAAAATTTAAAATCAATAGAAATTGACCCACTCTCATTTGCAAGATATATTCAGGACGAACTCGCACAAGGACGGATGTGCGGCCCCTTCTCTGAACAACAACCGCCATGCCAGCTCTTTCAGATAAATCCGTGTGGCCTGGTAGCGAAAAAAGATACCAATCCCAAAGTATATCGCGTGATATCACACCTTTCAGCTCCGTTTGGAGCAAGTATAAATGACGGAATAGACAGAATTCATTTTGGCACTCAATAAGAAAATATAAGCCATGCCATCAGGTGAATCACGCACTACGGACACGGATGTTATCTGTCAAAAATTGATATAAAAGATGCTTACAGAATCCTGCCAGTACACCCCGTAGACCAGACACTTCAGGGAATTATATTCGAAGGCCAAATAGATTTTGATAAGGCCTTGGCCTTTGGAAACAGAGCCTCAGGGGGCATATTCTGCAGATTTGCTGATGTACTCACATGGATCGCAACACAACAAGGAGTGAAGTCAATAATCCACTACGTCGATGACTTTCTAATCATATCAAAAG